ACAATTTTTACTTATTAAACTGACACAGAATACCAGTCAACAGTCAACACACTTTCCCATTCAATTAAGTGGGAAATTGTGTCCAAACTGTTGACTGGTAGACAGGACAAATAATTATTATAATAATTATTAAACAATTTTTACTTATTAAACTGACACAGAATACCAGTCAACAGTCAACATATAATAATAATACATTTTATTAAACTCAAAAGGGCAACACTGTTGTAGATCTACATTAGAATCCACAAAAACTACATGAATGATGAAAGAATTCATCATTTCCCAAACTTTATTTACTATTTTGATTAATTAATGTTGCAAATCTCATGTCAATGCAGACTCAAGATGAAAAAAAAAGAGCAATCTAAAGTATGTTTTGTGAATAAAGCATTTAATTGTGCATTCACAGCAGTGTGCGCCTTCATTTATTTATATCAAACCCATATACATTTTCAAATAACTTAATCCATGAAAATTGACTGTACATTATCTTTACTGGAAAAAAAGAAGAAGATGATACAGGATGTGGATTAATATTTCGCAGGTGTTGCCATCACTGTGTTCAACTCCTTGTTGTAGTGTATCCCTGCAGCGTACACTAGTTCTGTAATGCTCAACTGTGACCAGCAGGGGGAGGCTAGGCTCAAAGAGTAAAACCATCCTGTAACAGACACCCAGTGTGAGGGCTGGTGTGTAAATCAGCTTGTGGTTTGAAGCTGGTTCAGTAGTCAACCTCTGTCACCACCGCAGCATCACTCTTTCAGTGACAGTTCCTCCTTTCTGTTCAAGCACATCGGATTGGCCCCTCGAACCACCGCGCCTCCAAATTTCACAAACTTTATCCACAGATCCAGAATCGTCCCTGAGGTGGATCTCAGCCAAACCAGCCCTTCAGACTGGAGCAAATGACTCACTGCATTATCTGCCCAGTAGCTTCACTCAAGAATTCTACAGTCATATTTAAAAAAATAAATAAATTCAATAGCGGCAGTGCTCATCTGTTGCAGTGACAATGACGTCCATCCAAATCCGCATGGATATGGCATTGGACGCAACCAGAAAAAAAAGACGGTCATATGTCTTCACACAGAACGTCAGACTGGGCCGTGGAGACTGAAGAGAAGGGACACACAGTGAGAATGACATAAGTTATGAAAAAGAAGCAGCAGCTTTGACATGAAGCTGTTATTTATTTGCCCCATACTGGTGATTGTGTTGTTCATGATTCTAAGTTTAGAATTTCACATTCCTCCTGTAGAACAAAAGCTTTTAAAACATAAATACCCACAAGATTTTTGTTACAATAGTTCATTTTACAAGTTTTTTTTAGCACTGCTATCAGATTTCTCATTACTTTCCTGTGAAAGAGGAACAGGCTTTTGCTGTTCCAAAGAATTCTTTGTGTTTTCTCATTTGATAACTGAATCTTTTTATGAACAAACCAGAGCATGTTTTATCAGTTTCAATCAGTACAGCTGACTGTGCATGTTTCATACAACTTACGTAGATTAACACTCAAATGAGAAATGCAACACTTTTGTCCTAAAGTCAAATTGTTTTGCTGATTCACATGAGCAATAAGTAATCCTCATGTTGAATGATGTCACAATATAAATGGCAGGGTTTCCCAAGGTGTAGTCTGAACCTACAGTGTCATTTGACGGATTCTAGATCTGCAACTAGTGTTGCTTAAGGGCTGCCTTTAACTGCTAAAAAGCCGTTTCTGTTTTTAATCCTGTGTAAAATCTGCCTGGTCTATAATCTATTTGGAGGAAGAGAAAATTAAGCCAACTCACCACATTAAACATAGATGGGGAGTGATTTTCTAAAACATTTGAGATTCCTAGCTGAGCTGAAATAATGTTTCAATTTCAGGAGAGAATGTATCAGAAGGTCTGTGGCCCTCTCAGACATTTCCTGTGTTATAACATCTTAAACAACCTGCTTACTTATGGTCATCATGGGTCATAATGTTGGTGCTGAAACTACATTCAGCAAAAAGGCACCTTTCAGGTTTTTTTTTGTTTGGTATGATGACATGGTCAGCATATAATATACTTGACAAGTGGCTTTTAGATTCAAGCTCAGATTAAGGTGCTTTGACCAGATTGTGTCCTTTCAAAATCCTGACACTTGGCACAAACCCTCGGCTGGATGAACAACTCCATGGATTTTTTTAAAAGTCAGTTTGTGCACTGTAGGAAAACTCACGGATGTGGCAGTCCGTAGATGGTCATAGTAAACTTCTTCTATAGCCTGGAAGTAGATGACTCCCTTTAGCTTCCTCTCATCACAGTCTGAGGCAAAGGGAGAAACGAGTTAGAAAAATGTGGTAACAACAAAGTCGCTGGGACTGAGAGGATTGAACTGTTATTTTGTTTCCTCCCAGTATAAATTTTTTTTGGGAAACAACATAATGTACAGTAAAAAAAAACAACAACAGGGGATGGAGGCTGGAAAATAACGTTACTGATGCAAAATGATTTCACAATATGCCCACCTTTCTCTTACTGAGTTAGCATGGCACACAGAAGGCATTCGTTCATGTAAACACAGAGTGAGTACGTGCACACACACACCACTCCTCCAGCCAGTCTAACCTGTATAGTAGGCTAATCGTCTGTGGTCCATGTCAAACAGGAACCATCTCTTCTTCCAGGTCTTGACCCTGCCCCCTCGTTTGGTCAAGAAGCCTGCGCAGCGCCGAGACGTTAGCCGGAGGTCCGTGCAGCCGGCCACACCGTGACCCAGAGACTCCACATGGGCCCTGAGGTCAAAGTTCGGAGAGAGGAAAAGGGGCAGGCTGCGCTGCTGAAGAAACAAATGAAGTTTAAACATGGTTGAAAAGAGTCACTCAGAAATTCCACAGAAAGTTAGGAGACAGGATTAACTTGGTTGTGAGAGTCTCAGATGGAGTGACCAGACAATACAAATTTGATTGTATGGGGAAATGTCTGACACTGAAAGATTTGTTGGGCTTTTCTTTTATATGCAACTAAAAGAAGTGTCTGCTTTAACTTAGGGCATCATTTATACAGGCATGAGTGGACTGTCCAAAAACATTCCCAAGTATCATTAATGATTTTTTAATACTCAAAACTCAGGTAAGCTGCTTCATCAGGACTGTGTGGGTGTGATTTGACTAGATTTGACAACACAAACCCAGCCAAGGGTATAAATATTCTCATTCACACATGGCTAAATCCTGATTGGTGCATGAAAGCAAACCCCAAACTAGTGAGAGGAACACAGAGAACGCAGCATGGATGGAAATCTTTCATGTGAAATAACCAAAACTGTGGCTAAAAATGTGTTCACATACAAGCAGAAAGCTCAGGGTATGATGCTGATAAAGAAATATGTTTTCAGGGGCTTTAACACTGCCTTATGGGTGACATTTCATACTGTACATGCCTGTGAGGAGTTTGGGGGAGAACTGGCCTTTGGTTGCTCATTTGGTTCAGGCTCTGGTCTTTGTTGGGGCTCTTGCTCTGCTGGTTCCGCTTTGGGAGAACTGAGCTCTCTCTGCCTTCTCTCCTTCAACATCGTCTGCCGTCTCTCTTCCTGGGTACACACACGTATCACAGCAAATTATTAGTCATCTTCCAAAACATGTGACCTGATATTGACAATACTGTTAAAATGGCTTCTTTGATATATGATTCATGTATAAACATTTCCTTTTTTCAGTTTCATAACTCCACATACAATCACGTAGCTACATATATTTCAGTCATGGCTTTTCCCAGTGCTGCAAACAAACACACATCTGCTTGCTGTTTTCTTGGGAGCTGAGTGAGCGTCAATGACCAGACGGCCGTGTCTAATGCAGCACACTGTGGGTGATAAGAGGTGCCAGCTACTGTTTCCCACAGCAGGTGACTCACCCTCTCTCTGAGCAGCCTCTCTCTCTCTGCCTTAGCTTCCTTCAGTTTCTTCTCCATTTCCACAAGCTCCAACAGGCACGGGCTGTGAGAGGAAGACGAGTTACAGTCATCACTGACAAAGAATCATTGCATCAGTCAGCTTCAGCCTGAGATACAAACAAATGGGAACTCTCATTTACAAAGAATTTTTTTTTTATTTAAAACATTTGCTGCATTTTCTTTTACCAAATGAAAACTAGTATCACAGTGAAATACACAGTATCATGGATCAGTTACAAACAAACAATGGGAAGTGGTATCAAAACAAAATGCCTTAAGTATATCAAGTTCCCATTTATTTGTGAGCTGTTTGTACTGAATACCTCATCTTATACGACTGTGAAACTTGTACTGCTTTCCTTGAGAACTGTATACAGTTCCACTGGATCGATGGGAAAACAAACTGGAGCTGTGTTCTATGAAGGGAACCTGTTTGTTTGCAGAGCCTGTAATTGAAGTCGTTTGTTTCCAATGTGTGACAAATGTTTCATCGCTGCAACTGCATTTTCTGACATTTTAAAAGTCTGCGTTGACTGGGTACGTGCATTTGCTTGACACAGTTAACACAATTAGTTAACTGCTGCTAATAATAACCCTTTCCAATGTCAAATGTCCTGTAGAGATGTTGACATCATTTGTTTCATCAGTAATAAAAACATTGTCCCTACCAAGTTCATTGCCAAGGTCTGCAAACATAACTACTGATAGAGCGAGGAGCATGAATGGTCAAACTATCATGCTAATTTGAAAGGTGAACAGTAAACTCACTACCCATGCTGTTGACCTGCTGTACTGGTGTGCTCACAGTTATAACAAACATTTCAGGTGTGTACTTTTGGTTTTACCTCCAAATAAATCCTTTAGACAATCAGGTTAAACTGGTGGCTTGTTTACTACCCGTCTCATAATCTGACTAATCATACTTGAGTCTCTGTCAGACTTTGGTATAGTGATATCCTTGTGTACCCGGATCTCAGTATTGACTTGGTAAACTGGAATTATATTTTATGCTAACTGCAACTTACATATAAAGTGACACTGTTCAGTGGTGTTCTGAAATAAAACCCCTCACAAGCCGCTCATTTCTACAGCCTGTGAGCTCAGGTATGAACAATAAGACATCCCTGCTCCTATTGTTGCATGTAAATTCAAAGTAAATTTTTATTTCAATCCTTAAAAAAGTGTTCAGCAAACGAGCAGAAGCAACTGACCTGGCAGTGTGAGAGCTTGCTGCACTGTTGGACCGAGTGAGGAGCCCACCACCGTTGCTGGTCCCAGGTTTGTGCCAGCTGCTGTACCCATTGCTGAGCCTCTGGAAGGGGAGGGGGGAAGTGAAAGCTTCTGGGTTCTGGCTGTCTGGAAGCATGCACACCAACCCTGACAGAGGAAGAGAAAAGCAAAGGACACATGAGAACAATATGAGTCTGTCAGAGTGAATGGCTTTATATTAGATGCTACATGAGAGGAATCCTGCAAGTGGTGGCCGTGTATCAAGATGATAAATCACAATAATCTTTACAAAATTCAGGAACAAATTACTGTAAATGAAAATAGGGTGGAGAATAACCCTGGCAAGACCTGACATGACACATGATCAGGCTACTCTGATACAAAAAGACGGATTTGTGTGAGAAAGATAAATACTAAAGAGGAGATTTAAGGCTTATGCTCTGGGCATTTCCCTGGTGCATCCGGTCCATACAGGTAAATCCTGTTTTCTTCCAGTGTAGAAATCTGCCTACTCTAGCGACACACCTTTGATTTGACTAAAAGGGAGGGAACTAAATAAACAGACTAAATGAGGACATGAGTGCAGAGAGCAAGCGTTTAATGTTCAATATCACGGTGCTCTCAGCTTAAGCAATCAAGAGCAGAATGGAAAATGGAAAAAGTGGACTGGTAATTGCTCACCCTGTGCTGAGACTGGCCTGTCGTTGAGTTTGATGTTACGATGCAAATTCCGTCTTCTGGGCAAACTGGTGGATTCTTTGCTTGGTTCCTACAAAATAAAAAAATGTTCAGCTATTATGATAAATCAGTTTTGGCACAACCGCCAAAAATCTGCTGCTTGCAAATGAGAGCATTTGCTAATTTTCTCCGCTTTATATTATATTAAACTGGACTCCTGTAAGTTTTGGACTCCTGTAAGACAAGACAAGACATTTGATGACATAACCTTGGACCGGCACAAATTGTCTTTCATTTCCCCCTCAGTCTTTTCGTATCAATTATACATTTGATAAAATAATCTAGAAAATCTTCATCACATTAATCAATAATAAAACAATTTTAGGTTGCAGCTGTTTTGTAAACACACGCTGTATCCACGGCAACACGATGCATACCTGAGGAGGCTTGTGAACCCCCAGCGGGGAAAGTGACATCATGCAGGAAGCAGAACTGTCGATGTTTGACCAATCAGTTAGCAGCTCCTTTTCTTTGTGAACCTGTAGTACAAGATTTAAATTTATTTGAAATTCAGTAACATATTTGAGATGAAATCTCACTGCAAGGCACAAAGACTTTGTCTGCTCCAGTTCATATAAACACAGTGACTGACAGCAGCTGCTGCGTTAGACATACCACATGTGGCTGAAAATGAAAACTGCACTTCCAAGAAGGATCGTAATGAGTAATCATAACGTCACCATCTTTTGTTCCAAACCTCCCTCTCTGTTTGATTCACAAACATAAGCAATTCGGTGGCCACACTGGGTTCAGTGTTTAACCCTCATGTGTCTTTCACTACCCTACACCAGTACTGTGTGGACAGTGAAGATTTAAAAGCTTCTATCCAACATTCTCTGTCATACTTACCTAACAATAAACTGTTATAAAATTCTTCCAATGCTCCTTGTTGCAACAGTGTGATACATTCAAAGTAATTTTTCCAAAACAATCCAATGTCCAACTCATTTTCTCTCAGATACAATGAGCTCTCACCACGTGTCAGAAGTAAACCACATCCTGCAAGCCCTCATATTGTAGTCGTACACACTTGGTCATGTTGTCTGACGCTGTCTTGTCCCTCTCTCCTCCTCTGTGCTGCCACTCTCTTCTACCCTCCGTGCCGCCATCTCTATTCTCTCATTTAGAAGAGCCAGTGAACTAAAAATGAAGGCAATTCTTATGCTCATCAGCCATACAGACCAATCTGAGTGCATGGTTTTGTAGCTTACCTCTGTGGGGATGTAAAACTTCTCCCAGCTTGCCTTCTCTCCGTCTCACGCATTCACACATGTACGCACACATTCACAAATGCAGCACCCTCCTTTGCATTGCTTACTCCTCCCTCGTCATTTCCCTCCCTCCTGGTTGAGTTACACTCTCTCACTCACTCTCTCCATGTCCGATTTGCTTTTTCCTTGTCCACATGTTGCCTCTTCCTCATTTTATCTGATCACAGGCAAACCACTGGCCATGTAATAAAGTCAAAACACATTTTAATTTGTGACTTGTAAATCACATACTTTGGAACAGTATTCATAATAAACACCAATAACACATGCCACTTTTGGCTATCCAAAAACTTAACATTCATTAGATGTTTTTCTGTAAAACACTGAAGCCAGGTGAAAAATGAAGCAGATAAGAGACAAAGGTTAAGAAGGTTAGCACTTTTTTGTATGTGTCTGGTGTTCATTGTTTTGTCTTCCGTGTCCTGTACTATCCTGTTAACATCCCATTTCCATTAAAAATAAAAGTAAAGAGATAGCACTCTCATGCTGTGCCTGATATCATTCACTACACACTATACAGGGGATTTACTGTATGTAGAGTCTATATGGTACATCAGATGGCAAATGCAAAAGGCATCTGGATGCTACTCATGTCATTCCTCTGTCTGACACGACATAGAAAATGTTAACAAACAACAGCCTTACAACAAACTTACAGATCCAGCAGCAATACTATGAAACAATATTGTCAGCCATTTGGAATTGTGTTTCTGTCCATCTGACAAATTCCCAACAGTCACAAACCACTGTGGAACATACAGTGTAACTGTGTCTGTCTGTAGCATAGAAGTTGATGAGAAGGCTGAGAATTAATTGAAACAGTTATCGTGGGACATAAAGCCCAAACAATGACTTGAGAGGCGCCAAAACACTTGGTACTGTTAAGGGGAGTTGCAGAGTCAGGTGATAATTCTCACTGGGTTCATCACATACAATTTCTTTCCTATATTAATACCAAAATATTGATTAGACCACATCTAATGGTCTGCTGACCTTCCTAAACTGGAATGTCTTGGCCGTACATGACCAAATATGATGCTGATGTGTTTCTTTTATTAATATTTTAACTCTGCCTATAAAGACTGTTATTCTTTAACTGTACCTTCACTTATGCCCAAAGTGAGTTTGCACTGAGGAGCAGAGCAGCTGTAGATAGGTAGGGGTGACCAGTGAACTGAAATATCTTACACTAGAGCACTAATCTATATAGAGCACAGATGTTTCACTAAACAGGGACTGGTTTCAGACACTGCTTTTATAATCTGAGATATGTTCAAAATCTCTTTTAACAAACTTGCTCACTTAATAAAGTCTCAGCAGTTTACTCCAACAGTAAACAGAAAATTAGTTTGTAGCATCACACATTAATGCACAATACACATCTATCTAAGGCAAAGTGACACCACATGTTTTCCTGTGGACGTTTCTGAGGGCAATATATAGTATAGTGAATAAACTGCATAGTGAGAAGTCTGAGGTGCAAATCAAATGGAAATACTGTGCCCAGAAGAACAAATAGGTCTTTTTACACAGTCAGCATCTTCAGTCATACTTGTTGTTGAGATCCACTTACACTTTGAGTTGTGTGGATGAGGTCCCTCCTCTCTTTCCTCAAGGCACTCAGCTCCCTGTCCTTCTCCTGCTCCATCTCCTTCAGCTGTCTCTCTAACTGCTCAACTTGCTCCTGAAAATTGAGAACACAATTCCAATCAGCGTGGACTGCCATATGGTTTCTTCTTCCAAACAGCAAAAATGTGCTGTAGCTGATTAATCTGACTGCCCTGAGTTTACCTAATCTTTTCACTGATGTAATACTGGGTAAATATCCCTGCTGTGACGACGTGTGTGTTGTGTGAGTAAATGCAGAGCCAAGTCAATCTCTTCAGCTGAGAGGCTATGCAAATCAAACATCCATTTTGCATCTTAATGAGAGGCATGAGAGAGACACATGATGTCAGCAGGCCTGGGAGTGCAGCTCAGAAATGATGAAGTGATATTAAATCAGCACCTCAGGAGAACAAATGTGACACAATGAGAGACAGACAGTAGCTGTCATCTGCAGCGAGGCCACAGTACAGCTGAGTCAACTACCATGTCTGTCACACAATCCCTCTCTTTATCTTGGCGCTCCTCCTCTTGCATACTCCAGCTAAGTGGAGAACAATTTGATATTATTTTCACCATCTATCTTTTGTCTATATTTATAGGTTCCTGTCTAATGTGTCGTGAATGAAAAAGCAGCTATTTGGAACTTCCTATGTCAGTGTTTAAACAAAATCACACATACGTATGTTCACTAAAATGGTGAACATAATAAACATTATATTTGTTAAGTATCAACATGTTAGCGTTGTTATTGTGAGCATGTTAGCATCATGCTAGTATTTAGCTCAAACAGTTCTAGAGTTCTAGGCCCTTTTATAATACAAACAACTGATAATATTGGTAAAGAAATATTTTGCAAGACAGTAAACGTCTGTATCGTCCTGACCTCATCCATATGTTAGAAGTGCTCAATTACACTGGCCATGTGACCTGACTACACAGAAAATGTTGTAATGAGCGTCAAATATACAATACTGTTATGTTTAGTTACTGCATACAAGCACCTGTTTCTAAAGCTCAGTCAGTTAATTAGGAATTGAAAAAACATGTTCAGGTCAAAAAGAAATCACTATCTAAACAAAGTACACACTAAGGTGCCATGTCTCCACATTTGGCACCTCAGCACGGTTATAAATACAGGAATTATCACACAAGTGCCAACATGTTCCAGGTCTCTTCAAGTCGCCATGGGAATCCTGATCTCAAGGGATTTACTCCGTCCCAGTTTGTTCCTTGGCTTGCATAACTTTTTAAAAAGGATGATCTGATGTGGGATCTGATGTAATTAAGCACCCTGTACAGAGTCATGTGACTCTGGGTGATGCTGATGAGTGTGAAGTAAAGAGTTCAGGCTCATGTCACCACTAGATAGTGGGAGATGAAGGAGGACAAGTCTTAACCTGCAATAACAACAGCGCACCATGACAGGGGAGCGTCTAATGCCAGCTACGCAGTATTTAGTACTTAATGGGCAGTAAGTAAATAATGACAATTGTTTTTTTCTGGCCTACAGCACAAAATAATATCCAATCAAAATATACAGCTTCAATAAAATGAATTTCACCAACTCGCACCTGAAGGTGAAAAGCCTTTTAGCAAAAAAGTCCATTAAAGGTTTCTGTTTGACCTCTGTTCTCCTGGTGTGTCTCAATCTTTATAGTAATCAGTGTGACTTTTTGTGTCACTATAGGTCACAAATAAGAGATGGGAGGAGTTGGGAGGTGCAAAAGAAAATCAGTAAAGACTAAAGAGATCAATATGGGTCATGGGTAATTAATGCCACCATATTATTACTGGTTCCTACAGAGATACCAGAAAAAAAAATAAATAAATAAATCACATCAATAAGGTGAATATTTACACTTCTATAAAAATACGTTCCTGTTATTTTGTCCACCTGCTCAGTACATACGTTTGACATCACGTCACTACTGACGTTTGTCTGAATGTTAATCTCCCAGCAGACTGTGAGGGTCAACACTGACATGAAACACATGACACACAGATAAGCTGCAAGCACGTATGAAACAGCAGCAGCTGGGAAATTCTCAATACAACGATCTTCTAAGACATGTTGTTTACCTGTGCTGTGTTGACCACAAGCTGCTGACATGAGATTTCTTTCTCCATTTCAGTTTCATTCTCTCCCTCCAGGTCTTTTCCTGCCGCACTTTCGACCTCCTCATCGGTGCCACTCTCTCGCTCCAGAACACGAAACTCCCAGTCCTCAAAGGCCCGAACCGCCGCTTCCATCACCTCCTTCTCCTGCAGTGAAGACACAGCAATTAGTCTAATATAGTCACTCTTTTACAGCTCATTTTCATTCTCTTTAGTCTCATAAGAGAAATACTTGTTCTCTTGTTCTTGTACAGTGCTTAAGACTTTCGTTTGTGTTTATATGTTGTTTTCTCTGTGAAGCAATTTGTGCCAACTCCATTTATAAAGCTCTTTCCAAACAAATCTGACATGTCACAACAAAAATTAACAACCTGCTGCTATAAGACTTCAACAAGTCTGTCATTAGACGCTGCTTTTAAAACAGAGCAGTCACTCATCTTGTTCTGTCACATTCACAGGGAATAATACACATCCTATGTTCCTATGTGCTGTGTTTGTCTAAACTTGTGAAACACTGACACACTAGGCTGAACAGGAGTCAGCACTGAAGTCAACACACCCGGAGACAAGCTGTGAGGTGTCAAAACAAAAAGTGTCAGTTAGTTTTATGTGTCAGTTGGACAGCTGCCATAAAAAATGTGATCATTATTACATCTTCATATCTGATGCAAACACTGAGCAAGGTTAGCTACTTCACATGAATTAGAAAATGAGCGGCTGTAAACTGTCAATTGCTGCCTGAAATCACAAAAAATACCAATCAATACATACACTCTCTTCAACCATACTGGGAATCTTCAGCACTAGAGTAACATCATGGCTTTCTAAATACAATTTATAACCTAAACCCTCTCAAAGAATGAAATACACCAATCAGCCATAACATTATGACCACCTGCCTAATACTGTGTACACAGGAGTCAGTGCGGTTGGTTGGTACTCATGTCTCTCTGCAGCTCGCTGTGCATCTTCTGTGAATCTGTTTGCTTCCATAGTTCTACTGCCAGGAAGAGCATGAATTTGTCAAGCATTTAGTGATTAAAATATATAAAAGGAGTGACAGCCTCCCCACTATCATTATAGAGTGGGGAGGCTTATCATTACGATAAGCACTGAATGTTTCCCTTCATAGAGACCAATGTACAGAATTTCTCATTTTCAACAATGAATGAAATTTAAAAGTTTAATGTACAGTAGGTCAACCTCATCATCAGTGAGCCTGCCTTGGGCGTCCATGACCCTGTCGCCTGCTTCTCTTTCCTTAGACCACCGTTGGCACTAACCACTGCAGACCACCCAACAAGATGCTTTGACCCTGTCATCAGCCATCACAGTTTGGTCCTTGTCAAAGTCACTCAGAACCTTATGCTTTGCAGTTTTTCCTTCTTCCAACACATGAGCTTTGAGGACTGAACGTTCACATGCTGCCTAACATACCCCACACACTGACAGGTGCCATTGTAATGAGATAATGCCACTCACTTCACCTGTCAGTGGTCATAATGTTATGGCTGACCTGTGATCCTTGATCGTTTTTGTGATGATTTTGATTGAATCACTTCTAATCTAATATTTTGAATTGAAATGACATCACCTTGATAGTTTGATGACCACAACTTTGAGAAAACCTATTTGTCTGGCTTCAGCTGTACTGATCAGTTGTGCTGGTGTCCTGTGTCTGTTTGCTATAAGCCTAAACTTTATACTTTCATTAATGAAGATTTGTCAGTATCATTGAGTTGTGTAGATGTTTGATGAATGGATAGATAACTGTAAATGTCATTCAAACAGTTTCTTACTGTATTTCTGAAAATGCTATGTACTGTAAATCACTGAGTCTCTCACCTGCTGCAGCTGCAGCATCAGCTGTTCTCTCTGGCTCTCTGGCTGACTGGGGATATGTTTTTCGCTCTCCTCGCACCTCCTCTTCAACTCCTCCACCCTGTGCCTCTCCTCTTCTAGACTCTGTCGCTCCTGCAGTGACAGGCAGGGTGAGTAAAGAGCGAAACACAAGAAAAGGCATGACCTAATGTTCAAATCAAGACAAAATTTATTTCAGATGAGAAAGAACATTAAGTGTATTTCCCCACAGTGTTTGCAGAGTTTGTTCAGAATAACCAGATAATGTTCAACCCGTTATTTCATTGGAACTGACTTATTGTTAAAAGTACCGTGTGCTGCTGATATTGGACTATTAATGAGCGTAAACATCTCTGTGAAATCCCTTATGCCAACTTTGTCTGTTGTGACTGTGATCACTACATAAAACCATTAAACTATATCAACACATTAGTATTTATTGCTTCCAAAAAAGAAATTCAGTTGATTATGAAAAAAAGAAAATCACAAATGTGTAACACCAATTGCTGTAAGAGATGACAAACACAAAACTTGATAGATAATATATAACATGATAACATATGGCAAGTATCCCTCACCTTTTGTCTGTCAATGTGTCTGTGCTTCCCTCTTTGCCTGGCCTCCTGCTGCAGAGCCTGTAGCTTCAGTACGTGTCTGTGCAGCTGGTTCTTCTCAGACTGCAGCTCGCCCTGCAACAGGGCGATCTCCAGCTGCAGCTGAAAAGACAGGAGACAACGCCGAGCTGAATCATAGTGACCAGAGCTGGAGCAAGTCAGATATATGCATTCCTTTACCATGACTGTGGTGTTGTTTGGAAATGGCGTGGAGATATAAAAATGCAGGCCTCAGCAGAAACACAATCAAAATCATTTTAGCGTTTCCTTGAATACACCGTCAGCAGTCAGAATGAACAACAAAAAAGCCCTCAACTACCTGGTGTTGTGCAACAGATTATAAAAGTATATAAAGGTTTCCTCCTATACAACCGCAAATCAGAAATAATAATAAAAAATAAAAATTTTAACTTTAAATAGTGGTTTGTAAATCATCCGTGTCCTGCATTAAACAATACAGCCGCACATTATGTGACGTGATACCTCATCAGTTTTATTCTTTGTTCAAAACACTCACTTCAATTCTGATGCCTGTAACACATTGCATAAAAAGTTGGGATGGCTGCATTTCAGGGCCAGTAATGAGGTAACACAATGAAATGATGATTCCATTTGAAGCAGGTGATGTCAGCAGACGATTGCAATAATGAAGTGGCATCCAGGAAAGGCCGAGCCCTGTAGGAACAAAGATGAGCAGAGGATCGCCAGTTTGCCAACATATGGGGTGAAAATGATTGAAATGTTTAAAAACAATGTTCCTTAAAGAAAGATAGGAAGGGATTTGGATATGTCACCTTCTATGGTGCAGAACATAATTAAAAGATTCTGGAGGGATTTCTGTTCATAAACGACACGGGCACGAACCTAAGCTGGATGACCGTGCTCTGTGATCCCTCAGATGTCACTGGATCGAGAACCGTCACTCTTCTATAAGCGATGTAATCACATGGGCTCATCTGTGTCAGGCACTACAATACATAGTACCAACCATAAATGCCACATAAAACTGTACTGTGCCAAAAGGAAGCCCTACGTCAATAGTGTCCAGAGGCGTAGTCGACTGCTCTGGGTTCTGGGACGGACCGTCACTCAGTGCAAACGCGTACTGTGGTCAGACGAATCAGTATTTCAGGTGTTTTTTGGAAGGAATGGACGCCATGTGCTCCGGACCAAAGATGAAAAGGACCGTCCAGACTGTTACCAGCAACAAGTCCAAAAGCCAGAGTCTGTCATGGTCTGGGGTCGTGTCAGTGCCCTTGGCAAAGGTCACTTACACGTCTGTGATGGCTCCATTAATGCTAAACAGTATGTAGAGATTGTGGAGCAACATATGCTGCCTTCAGGACGACATCTTATCCAGGGACGCCCATGTATACTTCAACAAGACAATGCAAAAAAAAACATGCAGTCCTGACCTGTTACCAATGAGAATGTGTGGCAAATTTTGAAACCAAATTGCTTCAGCGAAGACCCAGGACTGTTGCGCACCTTAAGACACTTAACCACTTGGTGTCCTCGGTCCCTAAACGTCTGAGTGTTGTGAAGAGGAACGGCAACATCCCACTGTGGTAAATGCTTTACTGTCCCAACGTTTTTTTGCAATGTGTTGCAGGCATCAGAACTGAAGTGTTTATTCTGAACAAAGAATAAAATTGATGAGGTATCACATCAAATAATGTGCTGCTGTGTTGTTTTCAATGTAATACAGGGAACCGATGATTTACAAATCACTATTTTCAGTTTTGGGGCTGTATACTCTTTAATTATTTCTAGGACTGCAACCTACAATTATTCTCATTACTGATATAACTTCAAATTCACACCTGACAAGTTGCAACATGCAAATGTTTGGTCTTTGTGCTTTAAAATAGGACTGAAATTATTTAACTGGTTTTGAAAACGTTTTGCTCTCAGGTCAATTCACTCTTTGATCAGTTTTTCGATTAAGCGTTTAACAGTTTTTGCTCTAATTTGCTACACATTTTGCACCAAATTGAACTAAATCAACTGTTTTCTTCCTTAAACATGATAGATGTTTACTGCCACTGACTAGGTAACAATCAGCATCTCCTCACCTCAATCTCTAGTTCCTCCTTCTGTTGGTTGATCTCTGTGATTTTCTGTTGGAGCATCAAAGGCGATGGCTGGACCTTCAGGGAGCTCACCTCCAGCTTTTTAACGCAGGGCTGACAAAAGCAAACAGCAACAACAAAAACATAAACAAAGTCACCACATGCGAGCTTTACAGCTGTACTAGTGAAGTCTAGAAATACGAGGCTATTCATCGGTTAAACTGCATGAAAGAAGATGCTTCTTCTTACATGCAGGAGCTACAGAAGATGGTTTCACGCGCCACCACATGAAAGAACCTGACAAATTATTATATCACTATCATCGACAGCTTCACTCACTCACCTTCTCGCTCTCTGTGCTGCTGCTCTCTGTATCCGATTCCGCCCCAGAGGAGGCGGGACTTTGGCCTCCAATCACTCTGGTGATCCACACCGTCTGCAAACCCTGCTGCCACTGGCCCCTGGAGGTTTCCATATTATGTTGGGGCATTTCTAAAGGCCGAGACAGGGGAGGTAGTTAATGAGAAGTACAGAGCGAGCAGGGCATCTGGCTGAGACTTTAGAAAATATTGTGGTAATCTAATCTGCTGCACAGTTGAAGGGGTATGAGGGATCAGGTGCCAGTTCACAGAGGGGATATCACAGCTGAATAATACCGTATAAGCACTTTAAAACAAAGAAATCCCCACGGGCTTCCAGAAACCAGTCTGTGATGGAGAAAACACCTTGCAGTGAAGAGGAAGGGATAGTGAAAGAGAGAACACAGGATGAGGGTGGTGGTGTTTCAGGGTTTTTCTCTTAGCCAGGGACAAGTGTGATACATAATAGTCTTTTCTTCAGAAAGACTTTGATGTGCATCAGCAGCACCAAGACAGCATATAATTAGAACTAGAGTAATGAATGAAATATTACAATAAGCCCACAAAAATGTTGGCAGACAACAAAACAAACTGTGAAGTACTTTCATGTTGTACTTTTTTCTGTGGGTCACATTCATGTGCTTTACAAGAGCAAATATTTTCTCTTCTACATCAAAGTGTTCCCAACATTATGAATACCTCAGCCTAAAGGCCTATATTATCCCAGTTGCTTTATTCTATTTTGTCCTTTCAACTTCATCTGTTTAGTCTCTCTTTACACACGTGTGCACAAACCAAAACCAATTTGTGGGAAAATACTTCTGAATCCTATTGTCCAAACTTTTTCCCACCATCCTTCCTCTGTGCCCTCCCTCCCTCTCTCTCGCTCTCTCTCTTCACCCAGACCTTATTAGGCTACAGGGTATGAAGGCAGAGTGGAAGCACAGAGATAAATATACAGTACAACAGAGATATGAGTGAGGGCCTTCCAAACAACAACTGGCATACTGATATGGAGAGAGAGAGAGAGAGAGAGACACAGGGGAGAGGGGGAGGCATAGGCAAATCAGACGGAGGGAGAACATCAGGAAGGGGAGTGTTAAATGTCAGAGGACAGTATCTTCTTTCTAGTGAAACACTGAATGTGCACAATGTAGCTTTACAGATATGTACATGGATATAGAACAAAGAAGGAAACACTGATTAATGGTCCGTGATTTATACAATTTTCCATGGTCTATGCTGTAGGAGTATATGACACCCATGTCCCATGACATAGAAGTTACTAAAAATAATCTTCCATGGATATAGCACTAATATAAAGATGTGTACATGACACAGCCAGCCCTGCAGAACTGTTCAGCTGTAAAATGTTGAACTGCTAAAAAGAAGAGCTCAGAGGTTGAAGTAAGGAGTAAAAAAAACTATACACTTGTACTATAATGTCTCAGGAGAACATCATTTGTCCCACTTCTAATATTTTGTACTGTGGTACTCTCTGACCTTCTACTGTGCAGGAGAAGCTGTCCGCTTATTGGGAAAAACAAGCTTCACATGCATCCGAGAGGTTGAGCAGCTGGTCCTGTAGTGTGGTCGCAACAACCTGGAGCTGAACATGCTCAAAACAGTGGAGATGACAATGGACTTCAGGAAGAACCCCCTACCTTACCCCCCCTCACCATACTTGGCAGCACTGTATCAGCAGTAAAGTCCTACAAGTTCCTGGGCTCCACTATGTCCCAGGACCTGAAGTGGACGTCCAACATCAGGACCATCACCAAGAAGGCACAGCAGAGGATGTCCTTCCTGCGCCAGCTCAGGAAGTTTGACCTGCCCCAGGAGCTGCTGATACAGTTCTACAAAGGAATCATCGAGTCTGTTCTCTGCACCTCCATCACTGTCTGGTTTGGCTCAGCAACCAAACAGGACAAGTACAGACTTCAGCGGACAGTCAGGACTGCAGAAAAGGTCACTGGTGTGAGCCTGCCCTCCATGGAGGACCTATACGCCTCACGGGTCAAAAGGAGGGCGGAGAACATTTCTGGACACAAACTGTTTGAACTCCTCCCCTCTGGATGGTGCTACAGGTCACCGTACGCCAAAATAACCCAGGCTGTCACTCTGATGAACACTTAACCCATGACTGTATGACAGAACGACAACTCTCAGTGCAAAACCTTTAAAATATACTTTTGTTTGTATACATCAATCTGACAAACTCAATCTAAACTGTGTGTTGTTTTTATTCTCCTACTGCACATTCCTTTTTCTTGTTTGCACATTCTTTTTTGTTCTCTCACTCTTGTCTTGTTTACTTGTCTACTCGCTGCCTTACGAAAGAGTGATGTACATGCACATTGAGAGCCACTGTACCGAAGTCAAATTCCTCATGTGTCCAACACACCTGGCTGTGAAGCTGATTCTGAAGCACATCATTATCCAAACAATCAGTACAAGCATTTACCATCTAGCCTCTAGTTAAAGTCCACTCAGTTACAATATCAACACACATCCAGGGGTAAAGTCCAGACTTTCATGTAAACAGAACAGTTTGTCAAGAGTAACAAACAAAAGCCTAAACAAATGCAATTTACTGAGATGAGAGAGTGAGACAGTAAGAAGGGAATCAACTATGGATTTAAAAAATCAGCGGCAGACGCAGAGACAGAAAAATGGAGCAAAGTTCTCCCTGAGAACCAGATCAAAGAACAAAACACGGTTTTGTGCCCAAGATAATTGGACTTGATTGCAGGGAGGGGAGCGCCTCTAGAGAACAAGATAGCTGGGAGGGAATGAGCACAGACGCAGCTCAGCATCAAGTGTGCATTTGTTGGTTTTAAATGAGGTTGTGTGTGCCGTGTAATATCCACCCAGAGGTACAGTAACACAAGATACATCTGTCAAGCTAATCTTAAAAAACTTTAGGACTCTGTGTCAGTCTGCACTGCTAACTGTCAAACTGTGGGCACTCAGATATTTATCCACACCATTTCATTAGCTGCCATGTTATTTACTACTTAGAAAGCCGAGATGACAAAAAAGGACATTGTTTACAAGATAAAGTTTTTTTCTCTCATTTTTCCAAACTGGAACAAGAAAAACAAATAACATTTCACTTCCATAAAGTTCAGGGACTCACTAGAGACATTTTTTAAAGAAGCAGCAGAGGCTGAGATATCCAGACTATCTAGTATGGCTCAAATTCCAAAAACACACTTCATACTGCAGCTCAGTAGCATATTTCATGAGACCTTCGCTGCCATGCTGACAATTCAGCATTACGCTGTAACTTGATGGATAGTTTAAAGACAGGGTTTTAAAACTGATGGAGCAGAAAAACACATGGTGCCTTTTGTTTCATGTTTTCTTCTTCCTTGGTACCATATTACCCACAATGTAATTTAACTGCTGACAGTTCAATCAGAGGTTCAGGTGCTAGTAGCGGCTAATGTGGCCTCGAACCAATAGAGATAAGGTGAGGGTCACAGATGCCAGGTAATCTCACTTCTTTCTAACTCAACTCCCCCAGAATATAATCATTTTAAAACCTGTAGTCCTCAGAACCAACCAACACAGACTCAAGTGACCTCACTTTAAGACATTTAACAGAATTTAAACTGGTTCTTCTGGAGCATTAAAAACCTAATGCCTTACAGCTTTTTTTTTTTTAATAAGCAATATAATTTTCCAAGAGGGCGGCACAGTGGAGTGGTGGTTAGCACTGTTGCCTCACAGCAAGGTTCTGCGTTTGAGCCCAGGCCAATCCAGGGCCTTTCTGTGTGGAGTTTGTATATTCATCTTGTGCTTGCGTGGGTTCCCTCTGGGTACTCCGGCTTCCTCCCACAGTCCAAAGACATACATCTTAGATTGACTGGCGATTCTAAATTGCCTGTAGGAGTGAGTGTGAATGTGTGGTTGTTTGTCTCTATGTGTCAGCCATGTGGTGAACTGGCGACCTGTTCAGGGTGGATCCCGCCTCTCACCCAGTGTCATCTGGGATTGGCTCCAGCTCCCTGTGACCCTATTCAGGAATAAGAGGTATAGATAATGGATGGATGGAATTCTCCAAGACCTATAAATGGTTCCCCATTAAGTGTCAAGACCGAGCTTTGATAACCTTCATACAACTGTTTTCGTTGGACTTGACTGTATGTGTAACCTGACACAAGGCCCCTTGAATGTCTTAGCACAGTTTGTGCAACATGTTGTACTTTGTCACTATGGTGAGAGACATAAGCATGCCGAAAGTTTGATTAATCTATTACAGAAATCTGAAAACAGCACATAGTGTGACACACATTAGCACTTTGAAACAACCTCATCCCTGTCAGAACCCCTCACTGTTGAGTGACTACAAGGAAAAATGGAGCTAAGCACTGACAGCAGCAAGAGCTCTGATGGTGGCAGGTTCAGTGTGGATGCGAATGTTGATTGCAGCCTGTCACTATGTGTTTAACACAACGGCACTATAAGAATACATGTCCCACACAGAGCATAGAGAGCAAAACTACTGTGTAATATGTAAGGTTTTCATTATTACACATTTTGGATGTCCCAATAATTCCCTAAAAGCCTCCAGTTAATCCAAAATGCTGCAGCCAGAGTACTGACAGGAACTAGCAAGAGAGATCATATCTCTCCCATATTAGCTTCTCTCCACTGGCTCCCTGTAAAATTCAGAATAGAATTTAAAATCCTTCTCCTAACATACAAAGCCCTTAATGACAAGGCTCCATCGTATCTTAAAGACCTCGTAGAGCCTTATCATCCTAACAAAGCACTTTGCTCTCAGAGTGCAGGTTTACTTGTGGTTCCTAGAGTCCACAGAAGCAGAATGGGAGGCAGAGCCTTTAGCTATCAAGCTCCTCTCCTATGGAACCAACTCCCAGTCTCAGTTCGGGAGGCGGACACCCTCTCTACCTTTAAGATTAGACTTAAGACGTTCCTTTTTGATAAAGCTTATAGTTAGGGCTGGATCAGATGCTCTGAGTTTCTCTCCTCCCCCCCTATACTTCTTTATGCCACCATTACACATCACTAACTTTGTGTCTCCTCTCTCCCGTAGTGTGTCCTCTCTCTCTCCCTGTACCTTTCTGCAGGTTGCCCTGGCCCTGGAGCTCTACATCTCTGACGAGCAGTCACCAGCCACATCAACCTGATCAGTGTTTGTTTGTTGTGTTTGTTGCTTTTCTTCTTTTCTCTCCCCTCTATCCACTCACCCCAACTGGTCAAGGCAGAAGGCCGCCCACCAAGAGCCGGGGTCTGTCGGAGGTTTCTTCTTTTAAAAGGAGTTTTTCCTCCCTACTGGTGCCAAGTGCTGCTGTTTTCCCTCTGTAATAATAATGATAACACTTTGTAAAGTGTCCTGAGATGACTTTTGTTGTGATTTGGCGCTATACAAATAAAATTTGATTGATTGATTGATTGATTTTCGGCTCACTGGAAAAAGTGGAAACTGAATGAACAGAAAGTAAACTGGCTCTGAATCACTGCATATTGTACTATCAGTGTAAACAGCACAGAGGCAATGTGTGTTCGTTTTGTGGGGAATTTCCAATTTGGTCACAAAAGGTGAAAGACTAATGACACCAAAAACTCCAAAATTGTTGATCTCTTTTTATGAAGAGAAATTAAAGGGCAAAAACTTAAAATGAGTAGGAGTGATCCAACGCAGCTGTCTATAAGATTTACTGCAGAAACTTTGCTGTAAGGACTGAAATTAAATCAACCTTGCACTGAACAAAATCTCAATTTAAATTGACTATCATGTTGGGTTCAGATATTTTCAGAGGACAAGTAAGTTGTGAAATCAGTCATGCTCACCACGACATAAACTACATTCACTGTGACCTTGAACTGCACTGTACTGCTGAATAGCTTCTAACACAGTGGCATCACCCAGACCAGAGGGGGCATCTCAAATCTAGATGACAAAATGCATTACTTAACAGTTGTTGTCTCTCATCTGCTGAAGGCACAAAAAAGTGACTATTAAACCTAATAGGGCAGGTCCCATATTCTCTTTATTGCCCACAATGACAGTCTGCAACTTCAGTGAAACACACCAAGTGTCCAGGCTTTTCAACTTTGTTCAACTCTGTTCAACAGGCCTGACATCATCACATCAGTATCTTATGCACACAATGCAAAGAGCATAAGTAATTTCCTATTCTTATTGTCAAAGTGGAGACAGAAGTCCTTCTTTTTTGCAGTTTCCTTCCTCTGCTTTGCTACATTTTGGCTCTAACCAAATAAAAAAACACCAAGTCTTGCTCTCATTAAATTGTACTTAATGAGAATTAATAGCTGCAATGGTTAAGTCAAGTTACATCAAAGAACATACAGCATGTTTTCTTGTTTTTATACACTACTTTTCTTTCTTATAACTGATTTTTTTCTGGACCTATCCACACCTTTGACATATTAAAAGCTGTGGACTACCCTGCAGCAACCCGTGGACCTGCTGGCTTGTGCAGTGGAGCAGTCGCTGTCATCACAGTCCAAGTTTGTGAGCAGAAAAGGCAGGTGAGGACAGAGCTTTGGCCGCCACTGTGAGAAAAGGCAACAGGCTGAATGGCAACTCGTAGGACAAAACTACTGATGCAACAAATTAAGTTCAATGTCACCTGCAAGTGATAACACTTGCCTATGCATTCTGAATCAATTATCCTACTGAAAATGAAGCTAACTATTTAGAAGGGGAAAACAACTACAACGCTTTAGCACTGCCAACAAAAAGCTAGTGGCAGTGGACACTGCATTTCTGAGCACATGCTGTTGTTTCACTGTGTATTTTGTCTACGTCTGTGGAAACCTGGATGACAAGCTGATGGCAGACAAACATCTTGCAGTGACAACAATGGCAGCTTTGTACATAGAAGCTTTTTCAGCAATTTCAATCATCAGTTGTACATGTCACATTCTGGCATCAGTCCTACAGAATCAAATAACAGCTTCATTTCCAGATCAAATATAGAGAGAGAAATCCTGTCTAGTATAAGCTGATGTACCATGAGTAGCTATAGGCCTGAACACATTTTAAAACTGATACAGATGCAATATAAATTTCAGAAATAATTCTAAAATCTTGTTAATTACTTTGTTTGGATATAAACTCTCTCTCTTTTTAAATATGCTATATGAAATATCAAATATTGCCCAACAGCTGTGCATGAATAAATGGTCACAATCATGATTCAAATCAGGTTCTATCTGTTCAACAAATAAGCGAACAGTACATTTAAATGCCAGATTTCAGTGCCTCACAGTTTTGGGCTCTGGACAAAACAACCACGACATATGAAAAACTAAAGACTGAATCAGTATCTTGTTAGCAACTTCAGGTTATTTCCCTGAAAATAAACTCTGGGAAATGTTAGAAACAAACTGACGTAAAGCAAGTGCATTAATGAAGAAGAAAAAGCACAGAAAATGTGAATACAACCTCTCAAAATTACTCCTGCAACACAGAACTGAAATGATTAGTTGATACCAGTAAAAGCTAAATAAGAAATTGTTTTTGGTTCCTGCTTCTCCTAGGTGATAATGTTTTGCTTCTTTGTTTTAAATCAGTTGAATAACTTATTGCTCTGTTCTGTTGGTCAGAAAAACAAAAACACTGTAAAGATGTAACTGCTGGCTCTTGGAAACCACCATGATCATTTTAAACTCTTTTTTTGACATTTAACAGACCAGTGCTAAGTGGTAGCGTGCATTGTATCTCACTGTGTCTCACATGTCATAACTTACTGGAACACTTGAATAATACTGAGCCACTGTTAATGTTATTAGAAACAACTGCCCTTTTCCTGCTATAACAAGTCAGAAAAAGACTGTTGCAGTCTTAATGAAAGCACAGAAAAACACAAGGAAAGTTGTTCTGCTATTGCTTTGACTCACATATTCACATAAAATGAGAAAATCTACTTGATGGAAATAACAAATGCAGAAATTAAGGTATAATGTGTCTCAGGGAACTTATGGATTTGCCACTGACACTGTATGTGACTCATGGTATCAGTACAGGTTCAACGGCACTGACACAAATACCTTTGGCCTGAGTAAACCTCTGGGAACTGTGATGCAAGAAAGAGTGATCCATTAATGACAGCCTGGGGCACAGGGCTCAGACACAGATTTGTCCAGTGCTGTTCAAAACAAGATGTGTGTGTGTGAGAAAGAGACAGAATAACTAAAAGGCAGAACTCCCCAGACAGCAATCTGTCCTCACCACCCACCCTCAACCTTCACTCCCACCCACTCTGTTTACCCTGCCTGTACCGATGGGGGGATAAAAAGGCAGATATGCCAGGGTCATTGTAAACAAACTGAGGTTACGGTCAAGGAACAAGGTCTGGGGGAGAAATAGGAGTTTACAGAAACTTTCTCTGGGCTAAATATGATCACAGATAAGAGGCTACAGGGTGGAATGGAACAAAAAAAAGTATGAATTAATGAACCATGGCTGTTAAACAATCAAACAAACAGTCAGCCAAAGAATTCACTTAGTTGCAAGCAAGAAGGCAGTTTTCCATTGCATTCAACATTAGGAAGCTAAACGAATCCCTCTTTTCTGCAGAAGCATTAAAACACACGTGTGATGTGAGAGACATGTCCACAAGACAAGGACATGTCAGAAAGCCACAGCTCCGCGCACATTGACCTAACAATAACATTTGTCCCGTGTGAGAAGTTGGTTTTCAGCCGGAACTATACAAGCTTTATGTTTGGAGCCACTAACACTGCTGCTTGGTGCCAAAAGAAGGGAATTAAAGCGAACAGCTCTTACCTGAACCTACATAGAAGCCGTGGGTCCTCCACTTCATAACAAGTGGCAACGCCGGACGAAGTGAAAGAGGAGAAACACGGAAAACCCCAGCGGAACGTCACTCCAGTGGACTTTTAAAGCGCTTTCATTTTCACACACACACACGTCGGGCTCAAGTAAAGCGACTTCGACCTGAACAGGACAGCCACGTTAGACGTTTACACCGATTCAATCCCTCCCAGGAGAAATGACTGCGCAACGAGCCGCGTGTGGTGTCGACAGGCGATGAGCTACGGCTGGAGGAGGGTACAGACCAACACCACACAAACTCACAAACTATTACATGTGCTGGAAAGCCCACATCCCTCTGCACAAACCTCACCGTCCCGGATTTCTGTGTGTTTACAGACAACGGTGAGAGCCCAGTTCTAGTCTGCGCTGAAATGACATTTCTAGTCTGGGAAATAACCGGACTTTCCCCTTATGGAGGAGCTCAACACTGTTCCTGAAATGTGAAGTAAAAAGCTACTTAAGAATGACAAGCACCCGAGGGATGTTGTTTTAAATAATACAGTGATAGCCTACATATAATTTAAAGGGTAAAACAGAATAGGGGAGCTTGGGGGCTGATGCTGCTTTTAAAAGTATTGTATTGTAGCATGATTTTAGAAAACAAATGTTTTGTTTTTGGGCATGTGATAAAAGAACCACTAGATGATAGAACTTTGTTGATTTCTTTCACCAGACTAGGGCCCATATGCACAAAGTAATATGTCCCACAGAAAACCTCAGGGGACAAAAATTCCCTTGGAAGGAGTCCTGGTGGCTTATTTCTCTCCCGTGACAACCTTCTGTATGTTTAAACTATTCCTGTAGTTTTGTCAGAGGGATTCTTGGTCCATCAATGAGAAATAAACAGTACATGGCTGCAGAGGCTGTGGCTAAGGGGCCTCCTGACCCCGGACCCTCCAGCTTGTAGCCCACCTGATAGCAACGTTCAGTACTCCATGGCTGGGAAAATACCATGAAATCATTATTTTTAACTTTCACAATATGTTAAAATGTAACAGTGCACAATAACATCCAGCCAAATATAACATGAAGTACATGAGGTCAGTTGTGACAATGCAAATATGGAACCACTGACACAGCATTTGGTTCGGTCAGTGCTGCGAGAGATGCCAAGTGTTTTATTATGAAATACTGCATGAGGTGTCTTTGGACGAGGTTCTCTCCAACTTTCTCCCAAAATGGGTTTGATAGGCAGACCCTGTTTAGGTCAGTTAAGACTTACACTACCTGATGAATTAGCATTTATTGCCCCACTGTCAATTTTCATACTGAAGCTGTGGGGCACCATACATGCAGTTCTTTTTAAGAAAAACTTTTCAGTGGCTTTATTTTGGTTGATACAGACAGTTTACTGATAAGAATGAAAGATGTCATTTGTTTTGTCCTAGTTAGTGTAACAAAGCTAAGAGGAACCTTAGAAAGAGGTCAGTCTTGTCTGTACAGACCTGAAAGTGCAGTAAGACTGGGTTTCCCTTCCCATTCATTTCTAAGTGAAACAAAACGAGAACAAATTACAAACTGATCTGTGCAGAGTTAATTTTCACATGCCAACTGAGAGAGGAGGTCTAACCAGACACACCAACCTTCATACTGTAGGTTGATCAGGACCTTCAAGGGATGTACATAGGCTACCTCAAACAACTGTCGTTAGAATCAACGGAAAATGTGTGTTTCTTTCTTTGTGTGCAAACAGGGGATGCAACTGAAAAAGAAAGGTCAGAGAAATGCCACTAAAGCAAATTTCTCGCTGGAGGGTAACTGGTGTTACAACTGAACCTGCTCTACCCTATCACTGGCACAACTTGTGTTTTTGCAACACAACAAGAATGCAGCGATACCAAAAGCCATTCAGTACTATAAAGTCACTCACTTAGTCTTTGAAGGGAAATCATGATCATAGTAGTAGAGATCAAATATTATAATTCATTATCTGTTACTATAGACGACAGCAAACTCACCAAAACTCCATACAGGTTATGATAGTACTAATTCTATGACTACCAAGGCTGTGTAACTTACTGGATGACTGCAAATATGTACACATGTGAGGTGCTTTAGTAACACAAACACATTTTACAGTAAGTTCCTGAGGCATCCTTGCATTTATCCCTGGAGAGGTTGAAATACCATTATGTTTTAGGCAGTCACTGTAAACATACCACTGGGTACCACGGTATTGTAAACCGCAGTCATTTACGAACATCAAAAACAACTTGTAGTTGAAATTACAGGGGATAAAAACATTTTCAATAAGACTTTGCTGAACTTCTTAGCAGCACAGACACACTTCAAGTCTCTATAGGGGTATTTTCTTTAAGGTCCCTTAGGCAAAATCTCTCTTTACTGTTAGAGCTTTATCACCCTGACTGGCCTCTTTATAGCTCCTTCTGAATGAGCTGATAGTGTAATAGATTCTTTCCAGTGACATGTGGCCAGTGTGAGAGAACACAGGCAGCCAGCTCATGGTGGCACAGAGTGAGCGGGCTAAGAGGAAGAGAGACTGAAAGAGGGCTGGCAGATGGGTGACAGACTGGGTGAATGGACAGCTGGCACCTTGGCTTCCCAGCAGCAAAACAGGATCAAGAGAACAAGACCATTTTACCTGAAAACAACTCTCCAGTTAAAGTAACAGAACTTCAGCTTGATGGCAAGAACAGACACACACACACACACCTTGTTTTGAATGAAAAACAAGGTGTGTGTCTGTCAGGTGAGGAGGAAGGGCATTCCAATAATGTTTATCTCAACTGTTGACAGAAACAGCTGGCAAACAGTGTGTGCGTGTACAGTATTAACTTGCATGTGAGCAGCCATAAGAACACCAACATATAATCTCTTCTCCTCCACTTTATTCTTATTGTTAAGCCAAGGCTTCTTTAATTACAGAGTTGCTGTGCAGCTTCAGGGAGTTTAAAACCTTGCAGGCATTTTAAACAAGGAATGAGGTAAATTAAAAACAGCAGGTGGTATATTATGTATCAGAACAACACTGGCCTTTTATCAATATAGGGATGCACTGATCCAACCCAATACCTCAGCTCAGGTATTAATTTAATGACAATGCTTTCTTTGTCCCAAATGTAACATCTGTACCTCACTGTGTGAAACTCTTTGAAATCATGAGGTTAGGAATGTCTGCTCTAAAACTGACTGACTAAATGGTATTTACAGAGCAAACACTGAATTTTTCCATTATATTGACAAAGTAACTGTACTGAACATGGATTGGTCACATCATGGCTGATAGCCAACCAGTTATCATAAGGTCAGTATCAATTCAATCCAATCAGATCAGTGCATCCCTATTTATGAGATACTGTAACAATCACTGCTGCAATGGTCAATCATCTCTCTTACTACAAAAAGATTTAAAATAAAATTATTTTAATATTTGCTAAGTGTGTTCCGGTCTTTTTTCTAAAATAATTCATTCAAGGGCTGTTAATCTAAAAGAATGTAATGCATTACTGTTTAAAGAAACTACAGTGATTTAATATTTCACTTCTTGGTGTCTGACATGAGAGCGGTTAAAATTTGAATGTTCAAGATAAACAAAGCAAAGGCTAAAATATAATTACTTTTGGTCACATAGGGGTAAAGTTCACAATGCCCCAAATGCTGGATCCTACATTTCCTATAGTGCAACTTAAAGACATCTTTTGTTTGACCTTGTCTGACTGTTAAGCATCCACATCCTTCAAACACCCCCACTTGGTGACACAGGCTTTGTGTTATTAAAAATGTGTAGCCTCGAAACCCAAGCTGAGATACACAAACCCTGATGGCATAATCAGACTTTGGGAGGCTCCCTCCATAGCCACAGCTGACATTACACTACATTTTTCACAGGCAGAGTACTACTTCAGTGAAAAATGTGAGGATGAGTAGTTTCAGTAGAAACACTCTGCTACTGAAAAGCTCAGGATCAGTCCAAGATCATCTTACAGTTTACTACCACATGCACAGGCCTCTCTGGCAGAGGCATGTGGCTGAGTTTAGATGCTCCAAACGAACCTGTCTTACTGGCTGATGAGCCGTTAAAAGCTGCCTGAGAGCAGCACGTATAGCACGTCTGGAAATCCAGAAGCAGATTTCACTCTTCATTTCTTACCCATACAATGATACACGCTTCAATAGACACTCTTGTCTGTTAGACATCAAGAATAACAGATGACAGTTGAACACAAACACTTTGCCATGACATTTTTTAACTTTCACAATGGAAACTTGGACTCAGTGAGTCTGAATGCAAATAATGTAGCTCCAGTTTCCAGCTATGCAAAAAGGTAGGGGCAGGCAGCACTGGGGTGTGTGTATGTATGTGTGCCTTTGTATTACTTACACTATGGGGATCGAAACCTGTTGGCACATACACTCTGTGGGGACTTGGCGTTCCATTTGGGGACTAGAGGGTGGTCCCCACAAGGAAATCACTAAATTTTAGGGTGACAACATGGCTTAAGGTTAGGGTGAGGGTCAGGGTTAGGCAAGTAGTGGTTATGGTTAAGGTTACAATAGGTCTACAGGAAATTAATGTAAGTCAATGTAAAGTCCCCACAAGGAATGAAAACACAACTGTGTGTGTGTTTGTGTGGAGGGCGGGGGAATCACTGCAAGGGCCACATAGAAGAGCTCAGCCGCCCCAGTTAAGCATTAATGAATGCTAAACCAAACTCTGAATGGAACATTGCTGAGCTTTCTTCTCGTAAAGTTCCTTCCCAACTCTGCAATTTGTAACAACACAGCTGAATAAAGACTTTAAAAATAGTCACATTAAAATTTTATCAAAATATAATAGTTTTATAGTGGCAAGGCACATTTATTTATAATGCACATTTTTCTGCACAGTGGCAATTCAAAGTGCTTAACACAATGCACACAGAGAGATAGAACATTAAAAATGCATCTATAGATAAAACAGAATTCAAATTAGACAAAACATTAAATGTCAATTAGAACAATTGCATGACAGTACAAGTAGCAACATGCATGACTAGATACGTAGTACATTTAAGTTCTCAATAAACGTGTACCCCTTTACTTCAGTCCTCCCAAAACAAACCTCTGAGTCGTTTACACCAGAAGAGGGAGGGCACACTTTTTTCTGGAAAATGTGCAACATCACTATCTATACAGTCAGCTCAACATCACAATGAAGTCAACTGGTCATTGGGTAATGGATGAAAAATAAATGCAAAGATAAGAGCAGAAAGATCCCTGATAGGAGTGAATCATTTATAACAACAAATCCACTGCCAAAGAGCTGAAAACACATTTTAAGAAGCTTGTAGGTAAAATATCTAATGAGCACATAGATGTTTTAAGATGGTGATGGTTTGTAGTTTCTGGGTAATCTCGCTAATTACAGAAAGGAAACAATCACTTTGCTATGATGTCGTTGATTGGATTAGAATTCTCCCCTTTTCAGGACATTCAGACTTCGTGACTCCACAAACCAGATTCGCAGGGACTGAAACATCTGCAAAGGAAAAATAAAACCAAACTTGTTTTAAGAAGCAGATGTTAATAAAGAAAGTTCAGTCCTCTGCACATAAGCCTGTGCAGTGAGGTGTCATAGCTTTAAAACTGTTTTAGCACAGGAATTATAATTATGGTTATTAACAGAGGTGTAGTACTATTTGTTGACATTCCAGAGTGCACCTATGATAAGCACACACACACACACACACACACACACACACACACACACACACACACACACACATCACTGTGGCTGGTTTCAAGGGCAATATAAACACTTTTCCTACGGTGGCAGCTTTACATACATTAAAGTTGTATGCCAGCTTATCAGCTGTAACTGTCCACACGACCAAACATTAGAGTGACTTTACTCACCAGTGTCACAATAGTCTGAATTTGTAGCCATTTGTAACAGGGTGAATTTTATAGGCATACGTCATTTTATTACTAGGGCATAATTTCCGCATTGGACACACCCCACCAAAAATATGAAACTTTGCTCTCCAAATATTTATCATGACTAGTCATCTAATCCCTCCTAAAGCCATAAAAAATAAACATTCTAAACTCACAAGTGTTAAACTGACTCCAAAACATACTGAACGTACTGAACTCCTCCTGCTTTATGTTGGTTCACAGCCAACAAAAGTGAACACATGAGCTGTGTCTGGGGCTCGTGACTGGTTAGCATGTGCCAAAGTTTGGTCATCCTGTACTCTGTCTGCCCAATCTAGGCCTATAGCTGATCACTCGCATACACAGGTAAAACAGTGCCTGTTAAAGCCGGGGATCACTAAAGTTAAAGGTGATGTGTCTTTCTGCTGATCATCGTTGCATCCGATGTTTGTCTCCACAGTCCTTGGTGGAGATTACGCCCTAGACTCTCAGTCTGGATGATCAGAGTTTCATTCTGTCACTTGACTTTTTGTGTCTGTAGTCTACACTAAACTGGGCCACTGTGAACCATGTTATGAGTAGGTCTACGCTTTACTGATGACTAGATCCTCAAGCACTCACAACAATATAATGTTATGAACCGGATTGTGCAAATATCCTTCCCATCCTCACGGAGAGAAAAAAAAAAGTGGTGGAGCAGCAAAGGCAGTACTACACCTATGGTTATTAACAAAGCATAGCTGGTGACTGGACCATAAAGGAAATGGCTTGTCATACCTATTTTTTTAGGCTTGGGGAGATTCAGGTTGTTCATGATGTCTACGAACTCCTCCAAACTCTTCGTCAAGCGAGGGTTAAACTTGCGCTCCTCAGCAACTGTTGATGCTGTTTGACCTGATATGATACAGGAAGACAGATCAGTATGTCATCTATAGTAACATTGGTCTTAATGTTTACTAAATGCTGAACTTTACTAATCAGTACAAATATATATATTTATATACATCTTTTTGGTAAAGTGCAGAGAAATCACATGGTTCTGACAGACAACTGATAGAGATAGTATATAAATACAGATAATCATTGATACTGTGAAATATTTTAAAGCTAACATGTGACAGACTCTGGGATCCTGATCTTGGGTCATTTAATACAACTAGTAAATGAACAGCAAAATACAATTAATAAGGGCAAATTATTACAAGAGGCATGTGTGAAAAGCTTGTTCATACTTGTATTTTCACAACCACTCTTTCAAAAACCTGTGTACTCTATCAGTTTTAATTACTATGGCTGTAAAAATGTTGGCCATAGATTTAAAATACCAAGCTTTGCATAAACTGTTTTCACAACAGTGACACTAGGATACGACACAGAGATTCATATATGTGTGTTTTCAGCCAACCTTTGTAGTCATGTCCTGGGTAGATGAGGCAGTGGTCGGGCAAGGTGAAGATCTTCTGATGGATTGACTGGTAAAGCTTCTTAGCACTGCCTGGATTATAACACAAAGCATATACAAAAATAACTAATGCAATACTGCCCTCTTGTGTTAATCTAGTAGAATTACAAAAAATAAAAGCTTTCACCTTTCCATAATGTGTCAGAAATAACAAATTCAGAAAAACAAGCATTTGAAAATGATTAGGACAAAGTAAAGGGGCATGTCTACCCTGCTGGAAATCTGTCCTGCCACAGCCTCTGATGAGCAGAGCGTCCCCAGTAAAAGCCATGCTCCGATCCCCAGTCACCAGCGTCACACAACCATCAGTGTGTCCTGGGGTCTCCACCACTGTCAGATACTAGAGGAGCGAGGAGACAAAAGGTAAACTCAGGGCAATTTATTTTACCAAGTAATTTTAACTAGAAGTTCTGGACGTATTTCAAATGTTAGAGAAGCAGGCTGAAACACATCCAAGATGTAAAGCATGCATGGGTGTGTCTTTAAACAGGTCGTTACCAAGCTCAAAGACAGTCAGATAAAGACTTAGAATACAATACTGCAGTTTACAGTTTGTCCCCATTGACACATTTAAGCCTAAACACAGTCATTCTCTCTAAATCGAGGGCGGTATGGATTGATTTTATGTCACGCGTTACACCGGTCTGCCTCACTTGTTTTCCAAAGGTGATCTTGTCTCCCTCTGACAGGTGAATATCTGCAGAGGCACCGCTGAATTTTGAGATTGCGCTCTTCAGCCCGGCCAGCCTTTTCTTCATCAGCCCAGTGCTTGTGATGTGGTCCGCATGACAGTGGGTGTTCACTTTCAGGAAGAGAATAAAGGACGATTCATCTCAGGGTTTAGAAATTATTCAGGAGCAGTATAAAAGTTGGTGGAATCATTTTGTGACTATATACTTCATGTTTTTACATTTTACTAAATGCTTCTTATGTTTTATGTATGAAAAACATGGAATCCGTCATAGTAGTGAATATTAATGTATTTTAAATGGAATTGTGAATATTAATTGTAGTCATACTGCCAAGGCCCTTGGGATCTTGTGACACAGTAACCCTAAATCTGCAGTATACAGTTGTCTATGAGCCTGACCTATCAGAGTGCATGGTCTTGGGAATGTGAGGTTTCATACATGCACAACAAAACTACCACAGATGTGACTTTTCCAGGGAGAAATTAACCTTGCTCATGAAAAAGATTGAGCACAATTAGCAACACACTCTGAAAAGTCTGCCCAAAACGGTGTGTTGCAGCACAGGGCTAATTTACCTTGAGTCCACCTATTTATTACAGTTAACTGGATAATGTGCAGTGTGACTGAATGTATTTGTCAATGAAGATGATGGGACACAGGATTTTAAAGCTGTCTGGATTATACGGTGGCCGACACGGTCACAACGCATGCAAAAAACACAACACATGCAAGACACAAATGCGGTATTGAACAAAACACATGCAAACGGAAAACGCTGCATTAACCAAAAAAACACATGCAAGACAGAAACGCGGCATTAAACAAAACACATGCAAAAGGAAAACGCTGCATAAACCAAAAAACACATGCAAAAGGAAAACGCTGCATTTAACTGAAAACACATGCAAAAGGAAAACGCTGCATAAACTGAAAACACATGCAAAAGGAAAACGCTGCATTAACTGAAAACACATGCAA